GCGTTGAAGTGCTTTCAACAAGTTGGATATGGGGCAACAAACTATATTGATAGGCAATACAGTGTTGCTGCATACGTAGACACGTATAGTGAGAAGTTGCAGCCATTAGGTGCTGAGCATTATTGGCCGCCGGAACCTTTTAAGATGGTATGTAACAAGGACTATTTGCGCAAGCTGCAAGTGCTAAAGAGAACGCGTATACGGAACCAAATGGATGTTGGTGACACCGTTTATGCGCGTAAATGTGGCATATGCTCGCAAACAGGACACTACCGTCGTAAATGTCCTTCAGGTGGTGTGCGTGGCGGTGGTAATCCGGCTCCTGGTGCAAGTTCGTCGAATGTACCCAACTATCAAGGATACCCCTAGTCTTTTGTTTTGGTATTGTTTTTTGTAATACGTGTTTGTACTTGTGTATTTTGCAATATATATCAAATAAAATTATGTTCCACAATCTGGAATAAGTGAAGAAAAAGCTATTTAATTGCAGGAAAATATAATATGTAAAGCGTGGTTTGATAGTTTCATATAATAACACAAGCACTTAAATTTAACTTCCACTTCAATTAAAATAAAATTTAGTACAACAAACAAGGAAAACATTACTATAATACAAACACAAACATAGCAGGCCAACATAATAAAAATACATGAAATATGAAAAATACACTAAACACATAGTAGGGATTATCTAGTCCCGGTTGCCATTTATTCTCCGCTCCAACCACTTAAATCGTTCTTCCAGTTGTTCTTTTTCTTCTTCTACCTCTTTCAGTTTCGCATTCACCTCTGCAAGTTTCGCCCTCAAGTTTGCAATAATTCTATTGCTTTCCATTTCTTGTTCCCGTTGTCTTAAACACGCATTATGAAAATACTGCAGTTGTGATCTGTAGCATTCCTGATAACATGGTTCATCAACCCATTCCTCAAAATCACATATAGGTTCGTCGGGAACCTTGTAAAACTGGTTCATACAGTGCCAGTAGCGGCGTCCAACTTCACCACCGTCCCAACAACTTTGCATCATGCATGATTTTCCACAGTAGCACTTTGGTGGACGAAGAGGTTGAGCCATATAATGAAATATTTGCTTTTAGTAAAAAAATCTTACTTTTAATGAAATATCTGCTTTTAGTAAATTTTGAGCATACAAAATAACTACAATGAGCCCATTATTTATAGGCGAGACAAAATAATTAATTTACAGTATAGTACTGCATTTTATGGAGTTGTCTTGTCGTTCTGAAAAAGATGAAAACCATATGAAAAAGCTGCTGTCTTGCAGAAAAATTTAATAATTAATTCGCAGTACAGTACTACATTTTATGGAGTTGTCTTGTCGTTCTGAAAAAGATGAAAACCATGTGAAAAAAGCTGCTTTCTTGCAGAAAAATTTAATAATTAATTCGCAGTATAGTACTACGTTTTATGGTAGTTATCTTGTCGTTCTGAAAAAGATGAAACCCATGTGAAAAAAGTTGCTTTCTTGCAGAAAAATTTAATAGTTAATTCGCAGTATAGTACTACGTTTTATGGAGTTGTCTTGTCGTTCTGAAAAAGATGAAACCCATGTGAAAAAAGTTACTTTCTTGCAGAAAAATTTAATAATTAATTCGCAGTATAGTACTACGTTTTTTGGAGTTGTCCTGTCGTTCTGAAAAAGATGAAATCCATGTGAATAAAGTTGTTTTCTTTATGTTTCCTTTTAGTTCTATTGTTTGTTTTTGTGTTAGGTTTGCAAGGTTTGTGTTTGTGTTGTACTGTTTAAGTAAAATTGCTGTTCAAATCCAATTAAAATAAAAGAGTTTGTTAAAAGATAATTGTTACCATTATTTACATAATGCACTATTTACACAAAGTAAAAACATAAGTAAATCAGTGAGTCCCGCAGCCTGTGTGCTTCAGTGCTGCTGTCGGCCTAAGTCGCATCCCCTGTCGCCCGGGTACACTATCTGGATCATCGTCACCAAGCCACCTCTTTATGTGAGGATGTAAAGCAGCATCGACACCACAGCTGGCAGGATCGGAAGAATAGACCGTCGGGCGGTCAGCAACCTACAAAACAAGTAGTAATCTTAGCATGTGAAAAAGTATATTTGAATTGTACGTGTTGAGTCAAAAAATATTTTCTCACCGTGGTCTCGTCCGCCGCCTGAGTATATGCATCCGTGGTGTCCTCATCAAAGCATGTAGTGGCCTCGATATTTGAGTAATTATCTATGAGTTCCGGGCTCGATATTTGAGTTATTTGACAACATATATTAATTTGTTACTTTTGTAAGTTTATTTTTATAAATTAAATAATTAATTTTGTAAAGTGTTATTGGATAGAGTTTGCAGTTACTACATACTTAAGGCTCTATATTTTACTAAGCTAAAAGGCTCTATATTTTGCACTCTACGCTAAAAGACTCTATATTTTACTAAGCTAAAAGGCTCTATATTTTACTACACTAAAAGGCTCTTTATTTTACTACGCTAAAAGGTCACTATTACATATAAAAATAACAAACATAACATACAAATATGAACAACAAACTAAATAAATAATATTTATTATTATTTAACCAAATAAAACATAACATTAACAATACAANGAATTACTTAAACGCAGTATAGTACTGCGAATTGCTTTAATAAAATAAAGCTGAAAATAAAGCTGGGCCCAAAAATCAGAGTGTACTCAATTCGCAGTATTGTATTGCGAATTAGTTAAAAAAAATAATTTTTTAATAATACGCAGTACAATACTGCGAATTAGTAGTACGTAACTATTTCTTTAACGGCTAAATTTCCGTTAAAGTAATTCGCAGTATAGTACTGCGAATTAGGTAGTTACGTAACTTTTCTTTTTTAGTAGTAAAAACGTGTTTTTTTGTCCAAAAAATCATTAGAAAAGTTTCGGACTCGTACTTCACTAATGTTAAAATTTTCTCTCTTTTTTTTTTTCTAATTAAGTTTGAAGATAAGTTGTACTTCAATTCCTTTATCAATTTCATAGCATCAGCTTTTTAAAAACGGTTGCCACAATTTTACAAGAAGTGACAGCAAAGTAGCTGTGGCCTTTCTTTAGGGCAAATAATTGACAGGAAAAATGTGTGAGAAAGAGGCAGCCCAGCTTTCCTGTGACTGATTTGGCGTTAGGTAGAGTGTACTTGGTCACTCCCTGATTGCTGATTCTACTCTTTTCCTCTTTTCCCCACAAGATATCCACATCACCTGATTCCACTATGCCTTTTTCACCTTTTTTTTTCCTCCCACAGCTCTTGATTCTTCATTTTACTCAACTTTGTCATTCTGCAAAAAAAAGTTGTAGATACTATTCAGAACCAGATAAAGAAAAAAGTATATTAAATTCGTGAACACATTACAAATGTTATTGTAGTTATACTATAATTGTCCTTTTCAAGGAGTTCGTAAAATATAACACAAAATCGACGTTAAAAACATCGAGTTTTGCAGTATACTCACGGTTGGATCCGCACTCATATATATAGGTTCGACGTTAAAACGTTTTGCTGAGAACTCACGGTTGGTCGATATTGTCCGCTTTGGATCAAGTCCGCACGGTTTTCCACAAAAGTCCTCACACAATTAAAAGTATCCAACTTCTTATAAGTAGCTTTTTTTTCTTCCTACTTTTCATGTGAGACTTTGTTCACACACACCCAATAAGATCCTCCTCGATCGGCAGCTGGAGTTCTACAGTGTAGAACCCAACACCTGATTATTTAAATACTGGTTAGAAGTTGTGGATCTATCTGAACTGTTTCTTCTAAGCGATCTTATGATGCAAGGAATGCATCAGCCGCCAGATTTATATATCCGATCAGCAGTCACATGCGGCCTTCAGATTTTGCGGCCGACTATATGATCTTATTGTTGGATTTAATGCACCAGAATGTAACTAGAAAACACATGCATGCAGTTACCGTATCTATTCTAATTGCTTAATGTTCGTTTCTACTTAATTTCCTATCAAACATCGCCTTGCCGATACTAGAGCCAGAGCCAGAGTATAGCTTATACTGGTGCAGCCGAACTCAAAACTTTGGTTCAAATACTATATTTGTCTTAAGAAATCTATTGAAATATGTATAAATAATTAATTTAAAATTCAATAACTTAGAAGGAGTAAAATTTCAAACCCATAAGTTACAAATCATAACTCCGAGCTTTTGAGAGGGAGAGAGAAAATGTTAACCTATCAGGCTATCACCAACACAGACGTATTATCAGAATAATTATTGCATTATGATTCCTACAAGTTAAAATAGGTGTGTGCCCCAAAGTTGATACTTGATTTTGACTCCACGACGTCATTTTAGTGCCATATAGGTGTGCCCCTTTCTTACTTCAATCCATTACCTTCTATTGCCCAGCCGCCAGCCCTACAATGCAATCGTTTTAATTTTATTGTTTTAAATTTTTAAGTAGCTGTTTCGTCTAATTATTACTCCTATTGTTTTGGGGGGGAAAAAGAAAAAACAAAACAAAACAAAGAATAACATGTTGAACAAATTTTCACCAATTTTAATAAATTTTCCCTCAAATTGTAGATGTAAACCATGCGGCCGGTATCAGCTCATATCTTATATTTGTCCGATTAAAAGACTAATTAGTAGCCATAAGCCCATAACTCATAATATTGTTGAAAGTATGATATTGTGTAGCGGTTGACTTATAGTGAATAGCCTAACTGATCTAGCCAGTCTAAACTGATAGAAAGTTCACATATTAAATGATAAATAGTGTAAATTGTATACATAGATGAATAAAAAAGTGTAAGTTCGAGAAAATTAATCCAAGAAGGGTTATAATGGATTTCATATCATGTAAATATAAATACCTAAATTAGCAAAGGTCTAAGAGCAATAGAACAACATCACATTGCAGGTAAGAAGAATATTTGGAAGACTTAATAATAAAATAAATAACACCTCACGTTATATGCCTCTTATTTCTTAACTATACACTTCGCTGGATTCCAGTCTTGCCATCTTCCTACCCCATGTTAATGTCCCCCATTCCATGTTCCCACTTCAAAATTTAGACCTCTGACTTCACACCCTCAATAGTTGACACGCATACCATATATACAGTAGCTTACTATTGGAAATAAAATCTTATGAGATATTTTTAGCTAACATTAATATGCTTTCTGGTACTACAGGGATCATGGCCTTTGTTCCTTCTACTCCTCAAACTTCTATCAAGTTTCAAGATAATCACATTCCTTCCACCTCCCCTAAAGTTTTTCCTTCTCCTTGTAATATTCCTCATCAAGACTTCATTGGTACGTAATTTTTTACTCTCTCCCTACTTATTGTAAATTTCTTATGTGTCGATCAAAGATTTAAACTTGATAGGTTTGATTTACAGAATTTAATATAATATATCTGTTGAAATTTAAGTAGTTTTGCACATATATAATAATGTTCCATGTCAAAAATGATGGATGCAGGTGTATCATCAATGTTAATGAGGAGATCGATGTCGTTTTCGGGTGTGGAGAGGTGCGATAATCATCAAGATTTGAGAGTGGACGATAATGAAATGTCTGATGATGATGGATCTTCACAATTGCTAGGGGAGAAGAAGAAGAGGCTTAATTTGGAACAAGTGAAGGCACTGGAGAGAAGTTTTGAAATGGCTAACAAGCTTGAGCCTGAGAGGAAAATTCAGTTGGCTAGAGCTTTAGGGTTGCAGCCTAGACAGATTGCAATTTGGTTTCAGAACAGAAGAGCAAGGTGGAAGACTAAACAATTGGAAAGAGATTATGAGATCTTGAAGAGACAATATGATGCACTTAAGTCTGATAATGATGCACTCAAGACTCAAAATAAGAATCTTCATTCCGAGGTAACTTCCAATTAAGTCAGACCTCTGTATAACAGACTCGTTTGTTCCAAATATTTTTGGATGTTATAACGAATTATTGTTATAGAAAACATATATTATAACAGAACATGAAATTTGGTTCCGAAAAAACTTGGCTTTTATAGTGAAGTGTCATTATATAAGGATGTTGTTATAGAGAGGTCTGACTTGTATCGTCAACGCAACCTGACTCACATAATTCACAGTTAGATAATTTCCCAAGAATATGGACAAGTTGGATCAAAGTTGGATCATAATTCAATCCTTTCAAAGTTTGCTTGGATCAAAATGAATGAATCAAATAATGTATCATAATTCAGTCCGCCCAACAGACCCGGTATATCCCTCCATTTTTTAATTTGTTTTTTTGAAAAAAATTGACTTAAATTATTATAGCTTAACTTCTTTTAAGTTTACATAATTCTCAACCACCAAGTTTTATTTTGTATGTTTGAGTTTGAGTTTCATTATGACTAGCTGATTTTTTATTTTGATTTACTAATAGTTTGATAAGTCATTTTGGGTCCACTCATTGAATTAAGTCAACAAAAGGGCTATATATGATTGTTCCAGAGGGTTTAAACAAAGAATTTAAGCCCGCAATCAGGGGTGGAGCTAGAAGTAAATGTACAGGTTTGGTCGAACCCAATAGCTTTAGTATAACTCTGTGCTTGTATTAAAAATTTACTAAATAAATACAAAAATTAAATTTAGAACCCAGTTACTAAAACTTGATATCACTATTCTAGAATTTAGAACACATGCAATAAAATTCTGCGTCTGCCTCTACCCACAACCAGATTCTTCATAATTTTCTCTGATGTTTTTATGCGTAAAAATATATACTCCTACTTCTGTTATGCACAGTTCTCTAAAGACTAAAGTTTGTTTAATTTATTCATTTGTTGTCATCCACTATATACTGGTGGCAGCTCCAGTCATTAACTCTGAGGAACAGAGAATCAGGCGGCGGAGGTACACAAATGATTAATCTAAACAAAGAAAACGAGGGATCTTGGAGTAATGGAAGCGACGACAACAACAGTATAGACGTAAATCTTGGAACAACCACAACTACAAGGACATCATCAGGTGACAGCCCATTTTACTCCAAGAATAATGTTTTCCCAGAATCCAGCCCAATCCCTCTGGCCCAGCTCTTTCATCAGAGCTCATCAAGATCAGATCTCCAGTGCCACAAGATTGATCCAACGGTCCCAGATGATCAAGGTTTCTGCAATATGTTTGTTACTCCCGTGGATGATCAGACAAATTTTTGGCCATGGCCAGAGCAGCAACAGTTCAATTAATCTTCTTTAATATCATTCAACGGTTGTCCTTTTTGTTCTTATTATCAATAGTTTATTCCTTAATTGGGTGTATAGCAAATCATGTAAGAATTATTACCAAGCACTTGATAGTGACATGTGAGAAATTTCAAAGTGATGTTTCTTTTTTATGTCTTTTTATTTTCCTTATTTTTGATTTTATAAGTGCATATGTAGAGTACGTACTTCCATTCTTGCGATTGGCATAGCCATATGTTTTTGGTAAAAACTTACTCGCATGCATTAAAGTGTGAATGTAGATTAATTAATTACAATGTAGTAATAACTATGTTTGTGAAGACGCTTTGTATTTATTGATAAGATTTTTACTTATATTTTTGCAATTAGGTTGGACCACTTAGGAGAGCAGCTTATAATAATATATGTTGTGTGTCGATAATAAATTAAAAGAGAGCCATGTTCCATGCAATATTAGGTGGGGTCTCCCTTCTCTGGCATTGGATAACATATAGTAGTAGTAATAGTATATTATTATTATTCTGAAAAGAAAAGGAAGAAATGTGGTGATCATGGGGTGCATTGGCGGAGAAGATTCTCTTCTGCATTAGTATTTGAAATTTATGCTCCAGTTATGGAGCACTCTTTGTTGCCTATTGATTTTTAAATTAATCGTTATGATAGTTAGAATCTTTTGTCTTTGAAAAGCGATATTGTATATTTGTATGAAGTTTATTTTTTAGAAGCTTCTTTTGATGTCGGTTGCTCAAGTTGCATATACTGAACATTGAGGATAATTTTTCTATTGTATAGAGGAGCTAAGGTGGTCGACCAAGGGTAATATTGACATTTTAATCTAACTCAAGCTTGCTTCAGCAAAGAACACGTGTTAAAGTCTCTGTTCAGCTTCCTCCTTTTCTTACTAGAATGTTTTATTCCTACTATTTTCTTACATGATTTTCAGTTCAGCTGCTACTCAGTTTTCTCTTCTTTTTCTCCATTTCAACTTCTACATTTGTTTATCTTTTGATTTTGAGGAACTGAAAACTGCATCTTCATTCTTACAATTGGTTGTATTTATTTTAATGAAAGATCCATTAAAATATATTTCATTCTCCAGCTTGAGATCAAACTTGGCTAACATGCAAGAGAAATTGGTTCGGTTCACTGCATATTCGAGTAAGCAACCTTGTTCCGCTCCAACACTAGAGAACCCATTTCATCGTTTCCTTGGTATGTTCAATGTTCTTATCTCAAATTATCTCTACATAATACTTTATATACTTCAAAATCTGACCCACATTTGTCTCTTACCACTTAATAAGACTATTGTTTATTCAATTTATTACGAAATAATCGAATCCAACCAATTTCTGATTTGAATTTTTTATTTACCATATTAGTTTTCAGAAATATTGATTTTTAAAGCTAATTGCTACTTTTTAGTTTCTACTCTTGAGTCTTTGGTGTAATTGTACCTTGTTAGATAAGAGTATTTTCATTTCTTATTCTGTGATTTCATGCTAAAATTACCATTCAGATTTTAACATGAATTTCTTTTGGTTTCTACTTTATTCAAAGAATTGAGCAGCATACACGTTTTTATTTGGGTTACACATATCCAGCGGAATAATTCTTTTATACTTAATTACTACAAAATTCTTTCAATATAACTTTAATTAAATATCGGTCTTAATTGTGCTCACATATTCTGTTAACTTCTTTCTCATTACATGTACTTGAGAGGCTTTTAACTAAATAGAGTCTGCTTGCAGAGTGTCTTGAGTTATTGAAGTATTAATATCCCATGTGTCCTTGTGTGAATGTTTTATAGTATTTAATGCGAAGTTCTTTCATGTATCAATTTGCCATTCTTAATAACTTATCCAATTTAGTAATTTATTAATTCACTTTAATATCTTGAATGATTGAGATTAATATAAAGTAATCACACAATCGCTAAATTCCTAACCCACTGCTATTGTTATTTATGTAGTTCTTTACCTTCTTTTTTTTTTGCAGCATATATTTTGTAGCTTGTTTGGATTTTACAAATATTTATTAGCCTCTTAACATTTCAATTATGCCTTCGTATTTCTTTATTTATATATATTTGGTTTAATTTTGCATCCACTAAACAAGGTTAAATTCCTTTCTGTATATATACAGATTCCTGAAAAAGGAAAGATGCATTCAGTAAATGAATGAACGAATGCTAATTACTGAGATGGTCCAGCATCTTTGTCACAATACTCTTCAAAGAAATATTATGTGTTATGAGTATGTCCATATGTCTCTTTGTTAACTAAGTTCCAAGCATCAGGTTTATGATTTAGTATTGAGTTGTGGGATTCGATATTGCGAGAAATGCATGTTCTAGGGAGGGATGAGCGAGCGTAATTTGGAAGCAGCGAACGATGATAGCCAGAGGGCTGCGAAAGGTATGGTTGATCAATTTATAACATATTTCCTTTACTATCCCGTGGATTATTCACCAGCATGAAGGAATCTGATCAATTATAATATATCATGACATAAACCAAGACATCCTTATTAGAGAAGTTTTGATGTTAAGATTTCATGATTCAGGCTTGTAAAATCAAATTTTGTGTGATCCAACTTATGCTAGAAAATAGTACGGATAGTACGACACCTTGATCGTTCTCCATTTGAGTTTTTACTAATGTCAACGGGCAACGACTATTGTACTATACAATTACAATTTGTTGCCACTAAATTTGTAATTGAGAGAAGTAGAGGGCTCTTACATATAAATTTTTATTTTATTACTTTTGATTGTTTGGGTAGTAGCAAAGCATTGATTCAACATCCTAATTTGCAATACGCAAAAATATTATATTTCGATAAACTTTTGATTATGCTGAAATGGTAGCGAGACCTACCTACTACCAAGACATATCAAGGAAGTTATTGATTTTTAATCTCTAAATGGAGAAACGGAAGATGGAAATGATTTCTCAAATGCTACAATAGAAATTTGAAGGCAATATACATGATTAAACATAAATGTTTACACCTATTAGCTTTTTTGGAACTTGCAGGATGTATATTACTTTGGCACTTCTTGAATTACTTCACAATATTCAGAAAAGTAAGATTTTTCCACCTTTTGGATCTTTTACAACTCAAAGTGATATATATGTTATCATCTATACGATTGGATAATTTGACAATTGAACATTATTTCGAAGCTTGCTCTTTTATGACACCAAAAGGACGAGGAAAAGAAAAGGACCTATGAAACTCTTAAAAGAAAAGGCCAACATGAAGTTGGTTCGAAGCGGGGCCATGTAATATAGTTTGCAATGCTTTGTAATGTTTCATACGAGTAAATATTATATGTTCCACATAAAAATTTTATATTATATGCTCGAAGCTTTCCATTTGCTCCCATTGTTCCTCTCAAAGTTGACAAATATTGTTAATACAGTCTAGATCAAATTGTTGGGCTCGTGCTTAGTACGGGCATTGAATATCTAGTAATAATATACAAGTGATGAATAGGCAGATATATTGCAAAGAATGTAGATATCGGTTTATCAATTTACATGGTTTTACTAGCTAGGCTCGTGTGGATCCATAATTAACACTATAGCTCCGCCCCTGACTGTAACATTCATAAAGAAGTATAATGACCAGTCTTGTTTTCACTTTTCAGATAAAAAGTTTCTACCTAATCAATTTTAACTAGTTTAGAATTAAGGTCTAACTTTGCTTGTACGAGTTTTAAGTGATTCCAAGATTGGGATCACGAACGGAGTTAAGTCACCTTCCACCCTCAACTAAAAAGAAAAAATAGCCGAGTTTAAAGGAGAGAATTATCTTGCGCCACTAGGTATTCTCTACCTGGCCACCTGCCTCGGGTAGATGATGGTGAATTGACAGAAAACAATCAAGAAGGAGAGAGGCACACATGCTATAAACCAAAGGATGGCCCATTTCCATGCTCTACGTGAATCCGGCCCCCATAGAAATAGGTTTCTTAACACTGTTTCTCTGTTTTGGCCGTAAAAATTGCACGGGGCGCCCTATTTGATCGCCCCCATTTAACCTATACCTATTTTTTTTAAAGTGTTAACTTGTACTCACTTTATTAACAACTTCAGCCCCTTTCTCCTCCTCCTTCTGCTTCTCAAATTCAAAAGTGACTTATAATTTTAGCCAGACATTCCCTGATCGAACTTCAACCGGAAAATAAATTCCAGCGAGTCTTCACGCTTGCCGGTTGAATTTATATTTGCTTGTGCTTACGTTATTGTCGCTTTCGTTTTGGAATTATATTCATGATGTTTCGACATTATTCTGTTGGTAATTGAACAGATTGCTACAAAAAGAAAACAAAAACTTGACTTCGGCAGTGATTATTTTTAAGTAAAGGATGGAAGGTGTTGAATTGGGTGGAAAGATTCCAAGAAGCATGAAGAAGCAACTAATAATGTGATTTGAAGAGACAAAGTGGCATTTGAATTATGAAAGATTACAAAATAAAAACTTCAGCCAGTTACAAAAACAAAAACTTCAGTTTTCCAGTTACAACACAAAAACTTCAGCTCTAGAGCTGAAGTTTTTATGTTGTAAATGGAATCTTCAGCTCTAGTATGTAATATTAATAGGTGGTAAAAAAACTAGAGCTGAAGTTTTTGTGTTGTAACTGGGAAACTTCAGCTCTAGTATGTAATATTAATAGGTGGTAAAAAAACTTCAGCTCTAGAGCTGAACTTCAGGCCCGGCTACTAGAATGCTGAAGTTTTGCGCGATTGCCTTTGCTACTTCAGCCCCGTATGCTGAAGTTATGCGAAAAAGCGGGTACACTTGCAATTTTTTTTGCAAAGCGGGCACAAGTTAAAATGTGACACAAAAAGTGGGTATAGATGCAAATGGCCCACAACGTGACGATTGTTGAGGGCCTACTAGTTGTTTCATGTGTCTGCAGGGTATTCAAGGCTGATTGAAAATAGGATCTTTACCCAAAAAGACAGTTCAATTTACTCTTTATTTTTTTAGGAATTTTCAGAAATCACTGTTGTTTAGTAGCTATTAACTTCCTATAGTTACAGTACATAATTACTTCCTCTGTAGCTATTATTTAGTTGTTACAGAAGTGTATTCGCTGTATTCGCGTTGTTGTATTCATGAATACAGTAGCAAAAAGCGCCTAAAAATCAGGATAATCCAGCTGTACACGCATGTATTCACATGTATTCGCGCCATGTATTCATGAATATAGTAACGGCAATCGCCTTAGAAATAAGTTTTTTCGTCTGTCTAACGAAAATAATATCAATTAGCGTGATACACTCCTAATATAACTCAACAAAATTAATTCTAACATCCCTCATTATCAACTCAATTAATTAGAATGATTTTTCAGTTGTATTTAACTCTACTGCATTAGTATTTGAAATTTATGCTTCAGTTATGGAGCACTCTTCGTTGCTTATTGATTTTTAATTAAACATTATGATAGTTAGAATCTTTTGTCTTTTGAAGCGATATTGTATATTTGTATGAACTTCATTTTTTAGAAGCTTCTTTTGATGTCGGTTGCTCAAGTTGCATATACTTATAATTGACGATGATAATAATACACAAGCGATAAATAGGCAGATATATTGCAAAAAATGTAGATATCAATTTACATGGTTTTACTAAGTTTTATGTGGATCCATAATTAATACTATATCTCTGCCCCTAACTGTAACATTCATAAGGAAATATAATGACCAGTCTTGTTTTCATTTTCCAGATAAAAAGTTTCAACCTAATCAATTTAACTAGTTTGAAATTAAGGTGTAGATGATTATGAATGGACAAAAAACAATCAAGAAGGAGAGAGGTGCACATGATATAAAACCAAAGGATGGCCAATTTCCATGCTCTACGTGATTCCGGCCCCCATAGCAATAGGTTTCTTAACACGTTTCTCCATTTTGGCCCACAACGTGACGATTGTTGAGCGCCTACTAGTTGTTTCATATGTGTGCAGGGTATTAAGGCTGATTGAAAATAGGACCTTTACGCAAAAAGACAGTTTAATTTTCTGTTTATTTTTCCTAGTACATAAATTATATACTTATACTGATCTAAATTTGGCGACTTGGTAACAGTAGATAAACGGGATCAAGGACAGGGTCGACTGCGGTGTAATAGCGGGATGCTACCCTCGAGAGGGATGTTGTCGAGGGCGAGCAGTTGAAGTGAAGAAGTAACGGTAGGATAGGTTCAGATATGGACACAAGGAATATTCCTTTGGATATTCCCTGTTTTGTACTTTTTAGGGTTTTTTGGAGATATCCCTTATAAATAGGAAGACATAGAAAACAAAAAGGGATCTTCTGCACTTTCTGAGAAAAACATATTGTAAAAGGTTGACTTGAGAGAATATACAAAAGTTGTCTTGTTCATCGATTATCTTATCCAAGCACATGTTATTTATTCTTTGTTCACAAGATCCAAAGATTCCATAACCATCTTCACTTCTCTTCTTTCCACGTTGCTGACGGGGGAAAGAACCATCCAAATCATACAATAATTGGGTGGTAGATTCATTCTTATTACCTTCATTGCCATTATCTGCATTTATTGCATGTTTGTGTTATCACATTTATGAGCATTCGTTGAATACAAACGTGCTGATTAACGATTGTTCATCTTATCGACGTCGCATAATATTTGGTCTAGATTTTATTATTTTTAATTAAGATTCATCCTTCATCTCATCATTAATTGGTTTAACTAAAAGGCTCAACACTTTTTGGTCAAACAATTTGGCGTCGTCTGCGGGGATTTTTTAGTTAAAATTTTAGTTTCTTCTAGATCATAAAAAAAAGGGACAGCTATCTTTTCCTCGTTTGCACGAACTAACAATGGCAGAAAAAGGAGACGAAAGACAGAAAGCAATAATGGGTGTCACTACCAACATCTTAAACACCATCAACGAGGATGACAGAGGTGACAATGAGAATGTAACACCAAATGCTACACCCAGACGGAGTGATTCACCTCCCCCTCATGCAAGCGTAACCGCTTCGCGCGAAAGGGGAGCTTCCACATCCACAGTTGAGGAAGCACCACTAGCAGTAAAAAAATTATTGGAGGAGTGGCTGACAAGTACCCAAAATGACATACTCGACAAACCCGTTCAAAGGGCGAATAGAAATGACGCGCTAGCAGATATCACAACGACTACCGGTGAACAACCCACTCCCCCAACAGGTAATACTCACAACGCTGTTGATGCAGGTAATGACGCACCCATGACCATCCTAAAGAAAATGGAGGAAATGGAAAACGAGTGTTGATACCCAATTTTTCCCTCATATTTTTTTAAATATACAAATATACTTCCAAAATAGTGCATATGCATCATCGCTTGGTTTTAAGACATATACAAGCATTTTTCATAAATTTTCAATAATTTAAAGGAGTTTTAAATGAATTTATTCCTATATTTTACTATATAAATATTCGTTAATTGCATCACAAATTAATTTTATCATTTAATTTCATCATTACACCCAGATTAGGTTTTAAATACTTTGACATATTTATCATAAATATATTCGCATTTTTTTAAGGCTAGAATTGCACATTTTGCAATAATAGCCCATATATACTTATAATTGCCATATTCATGCAAAAAATAACTTTTTATATTTTCACAATGTTAAATAATTATTGTTAATCATTTTTATGCACAAATAATATTTTTACTATTTTATTTATCCTTTTACAAATTATTTTATTAATTAAAAACGGGTATTTAAAACATGACCCCAATTTTCAATTAAATTTTCGGACCAAAAGCTACCCAAACCAACTCAATTACCCAAGCCCAACTACTTAATACATAGCCCAATTTCACCCAGCCCAAATCAAATAATACCCTAACCAGTACCCTTTTTTACCTGACCTAAATTCCCCCTTTTAATCCTGGCCGTTGATCTTTCAAGATCAACGGCCCTCATTCGTCCGACCCTTTTTAATTAACCTACGCTCCCCAAACCCTAGCCATTTCTTACCAAACGCCGCCATTAAACTCTCTCCTCTCTTCATCTCTGAAACCCTAACACCGTCACCTAATTTCCTTCTTCGATTCCAACCGGATATGGAATCCCTTAATGATTTTCTTACCTTATTGGTCCTATCTCGCTACTGGTTACTCGATTATGGTATAACCTAATAGCTTGCCTAACATGGTAAGCCGATTTCCTTTTTTTGGACCAAATCTGGTTCGAATCTTTCTCCTTTCTTCATATATGTTCACTCTTCATCTTTTCGAGTACGAATCTCCGAGATTTTCTTTAATCTTTGTTTACTTTAAAGCTGGGGTTTAGATCTTTTAAGATTTGTTAATATTTCGTTCTTATTTTTGTTAAAAATATCAT